TAAGTGTAAAAATCCATAGAAAGAAAGGGGAGGAGAGAGCGAATTGGTGGAATCATGAAAGAACTAAATTTAACTTGCTAAAAAAGAGGAAAAATAATTGAGGCAATTTTGAGGAGTTTTTAACCATAGTTCAGATATACAGATATAACTTTAGCGGGCTGGGGATTTAGCTCAGAGGCAAAGAGCCTGCCTGGCAAGTGCAATGTCATGAGTTCAATTCCTGGTACCAGAAGAAAAACAAAACAAAACAAAACAAAAAAACAAAAAAAACCAGACATAACTTTATATAAGAAGAAATTCAATTTAACATGCATTCAGTTGTGGCATAATGAAAAGAAACAAATTTGCAATCAGAAAATTTAGACTGAGTTGTAGATTTCCCTTTTACTATTGTGTGATCCTGCAGAGGTCATTTGACCTCTTTGAGCTCTGGTTTCTGCCAAAATAAGGTGAGGATTAAGAGGATCTATCTCTACCAACTGAGGTTCAGCCAGAAAACAGAAACCAATACCTGAAGGTACTTAATTTGTGGTATTTCTGCAGGAAAGATTGGGAGAGCAGAATCAGAGAAAAGTCACACAGATTTCTGATTTGCTGGATTAGCTGTGAGAGCCGAGATGTTGCAACCACCATTCAGAGGTCAAGAAACAGTGTCCTGGGATTGCTGTCCAGGCCAACATGGAGGCTCTGGCCCTGGCAAAACCTACGTGTACCTGTGAGCCCCTGAGGGCTGACTGCTGCTACTACTGCAGGAAGGACGCATCGTACCTGTACCCTGCCCTTCAAATCTCACACAAGGGCACTGCGCTGGCAAGGACTGAACTGGAACCCTGCTGGTAACACAGCTGAGGAAGTGCAGTTCCCAGGTTTCTAGCCCCAAGAATTCAGGAAAGGGCATGGAAGAGGCAGCAATCAGGGCAAGTGCCGGGAATGTGCAGCCCACTGAGTGAAAGGGTCACTGAAAGCTGAAGGTTGCATCCTGTGAAGGGTTGTGAAATCCCTTCAGAGGGTCAGGGCCAGCATTAACCAAAATCAAATGGCACAGAACATAAATTAACCTAGTGCCTTGCATAGAGTCAAGATAAGTATTATTCTGTGAAATTTTAATGTCATTGCTAACGTTTCAGCGTGCACATGTGTGTAGTGTGGTAGGTCATAATGTTTAAAGGTCAAAGGGTTTGAAAACCACAGAACAAATCCACTAATTTCAAATGATTTGTGCCCTTTGTGAATTTAAAAGTACGAGGTGCATGTTGTGAATTACGAACCCATTTGCCTTTCCTGAGCCCCACTTTCTGTTTCACTGAAGCTCAGGTGCACCTCCGAGATAGAAAATGCCACCTAACTGCCTCTGCATGGACACTGAGGATTCTCCCACACTCGTTCACACCTGCAAAATTAAACCAATGGGGACAGAAGATAGAGAAATGAACAAACAACAGATTCGCCTTGGTACTTGCTCCTTTAGGAGCAGCTTAACTTTCCTGATGGGAGACATATTTAGCCATAAAGAAGGCTATTATTTCACTGTGTTTAAAAAAAAGAAAGGAGCTGAATGGTATGTGGAATATTTTTGAAAAGATAAACTGAGCACCATGCTCATAACAACAAGGTCCATTTCCAGATGGAACGCTGTTCCCGCTCGGCTGGCAGTTGGTTGGGTTTTCCCATTACCAACATCTGGACGATCGGAGATAATATTCCAGGATCAGATTCATACTTCTTAGAGAGCATGCTTTGAAATTTTATTAACTGAAAGACCATCACCACCTCTTTATTTGTAGGCCATATTACTTGAAAGTTTAGCATATCTTTTAGAATGGATTGGATTTCATTTTGCCAGAGGGTAAATGAAATTTTAAACTGGCTACAAATTTAATCACTTTCCTTTTTCTCTGGTGTAGAAATTCCTCCTTATCTATCCTTCCCTCTACACCGTTTTTTTAAAATTGCTTGTAAGAGCCTGTCTACGATAAAATAACTGGTTTTTCCTGGAACAGCTAATATGCAATAAAAAGGGCACCATTCACTAATAACAATTTGCTAATTGTTCTCTGAGCCCCCCTGGGAGGTGGATGAAGGTTGTGACTCTTCTTTATAGCAAAGGGTGTATGACAAGGTGATAGGATCTAGGTCAAGGCCAAGTAGGAATTCAAACCTGCAATGTGTTTATTCTATAGAGAGCAGTATTTTCTGCCTCCCCTCAGACTCAGGTGACTGGAGAGTTGCTATCAGACCAGGGCTGCACTTATCAAAATGTTCTATGCTAGTGTTTGTTCCCCAGTGTGAGAGAGACCCGGAAATGAGAACTATTTTTGTTGGCCACCCAGAAAAGCTAGAGATCTATTAAGAAGGGAGACGTAGCTGGGGAATGGTGGGTGGTGGAATGGGATTACTGGTGGAGGGAGATATGAGACGTGGCCCAACAGGGAGCACTGAGAAAAACGAACTCAGGAAGCACAAATAGTAATGAGAGAAGCCAGAGACGCTCTCCTAAACATTTGGAGGGGATTAGGCCAGGATATGGACCAGGAAAGGGAGGATCATCTCAGAATGTCCTATGCTCTGAGCAGTTTTAGGGTTAAACAAGAATGGATTGATGGTATTTGGGGATTAGAAGAAAATGGTGCTAAATGCAAGGTATCCCAAAGATCTGTGCTTTGAGATGGGAGTAAGGGGTGAAGGAGGAACGTTCTTATTTGCAGAGCATGGACATTTCAGGGACAATATCAGTTGTCTCTTTCCTTCCTTATCTTTCTTTTAATACCAATTTATTCTCCCAGTAATTATATGATGAGTCCTGCAATAGAGATGAAAGTTGAAGTATCAAAGAAGTGAAACGGCTTGCCCGAGTTTATACAATGGGATGAAAAAGGAAAATTTGAGTAGAGTTCCTCTCAATTCTCAAATTCATATTCTTTTTAAAACATTATACTTCTCCTCCTTCAGAAAATGGAAACTGTCTGCAGAAACCCAATAAGCGCTCTGCGCTGCATTGTACCGCCCGACTAGGCATACAGTTATTGCCATGTATGTAGTCTGTGCCCCAAATTTCCATAATATTTGGTCTCTGGATAGCCCAGTTATACGGTTCTAGCAGAGCACATTGTGGATAAAATAGGTAAGAAAGCCTGTGATCTGGAGGGCATTGTTCTTGAAATAGAAAAGGTTTGGCTACTGAAGCTTATCACTGGCACCACTTTGGATTTTGTGATGTCATAGGTGTGTGAAGCCTGATTCAGTCTGTGCCGACAAGAACATACTCTGCAGGTCATCGTGCAAAACGGAAAGATGAGCTCTGTGTCAGTCAACTTTCGGTCACTGTAAGAGAATCCTGACATAATAGGTTGATAAGAGAAAAGCTTCACGGGGCATTATACTTGGGAGGTAGTAGGCCATGGTAGCTGGGATCCCTCTGATTCTGGGTCACAGGGGCGGTAGTACACATACGTGGGGCATATATTAGAGCAAAGCTGTCCTGCTGGTGGCCAGGAAGCAAAAGTGAGCAAGGGTGGGAAGAATCTCATGATCTCCTAGGAGGGCAAAACCTTGATGACCTACGGGGCTCCGAACCGGCCTGACTTGACCCCTAACCCTAACCTTAACCCTAACCCTAACACTAACCTTAACCCTAACCCTAACCCTAAACCTAACCCTAAACTTAACCCTAACCCTAACCCTACCTCCCAACATGCCACCTGGGCAATCAAGCCCTTGGAGGACAGCCCTTTGTTAAAAAAAGTTATTGTTCCAAGATGGTAAAATCATAGCATTAAATCAAGTGCATAGACCTTTAAAGTGTGGGGCTGGTGCAGACACACAGGATGCACAACCTTGAAGCTTGCTCTGGGGCTAATTCCCATTAATTTGGTCTGACCAAGAAATGCACAGAAGATCTGTCTTTCGCTGTACCATGGTGACTAACATAGAAACAGCTGCTAGGGTGCAGGTGGGATTCTGTAAAAAACCAAATCGATGGTAGTGGCTATCATAGGCACATGTTTGTCCTTTCATTCATGAAGTCACTCATTTGAAGGCATTTACTAACCTCTTGCTGTATGCCAGGAGCTGCACTAGGTGTTGGGGACTCTACTCCAAGGATTACATACATGTTCTTCCTGGCCCTGAGGACAGAGCAGCTTAGACACTGGGGTGGCAGTCAATGGCCACTTTATCTCTTACCAGAAGTCCCTTTACCTAGGAGACTCTCTGTCCCCTGGGAACACATTCATTGAGGATACAGTGGGTTTCCATGTGGCAAAAAAACAGAAGCTGATTCTGCTAATCAAAGACATTTACTGGAAGGATGCGGAGGGATCTCACAGACTAAAGGAAATGAAAATCCAGAGACTCAGGCAGGTCTGGGCCTAAGTAGAAGGAAGTAATCATCCCTTCAGAATGCTACTGCAGCTGCTGCTGCTGCGAAAGTGAATCAACTTTGGCTTTACTTTTTTGGTTCTCTAACTCAGATATTTGCAGAGCATCAAGGTAGGCCTCTTCCCAGTTCATGCTGCCCTGCCTTCATGAGTCTGGATGAGGGTCCATCTCATTTTGTTTTCTTTATTTTCCTTGTTTGATCTCTGAGTCCCACTCCCTTCTTCCCTATAGACCACCACTTTAAATGAGCTCATTTTATGCACTTGCCTTATATGTGTGTACCTGGATATAAAACACACAGTGTCTGTGGTGTATGTTGTGTGTTTAAGATTTAAATCATTGCTTTTATACTGCAGGTAGGGTTCTGAGTCTCACTTTTTGCTGAATGAAAATGTTTTTAAAGTCCCTTCTACAGTGCTCGTTACATTCAGTGCTTCTAAGATGCCACATTATGCTTCCTAGAATTCATCTCCATATTTTGGGGGGCCTTTTCCTCAGAGGTGATCACCTTGTTCTGTCTTCAGTTGCTGTTTACACCAGGTCCCTGTGATAAACAGCCTCACGTATGTCCTCTTGGACCTGAGTGAGAGTTTTCCTAGGACAGAAGTCTCAGCAGGCGTAAGTATCACTTCAGAGGCGTGAGGAGGCAGTGAGGGTTACATATTAAGAATGCAGCTGCTCAGGTTCTTCCTCTGGAGATGCTGATTTTATAGATCAGAAGCAGGTCCTGGAATAATAATGTTAACAAGATGAGTCTTATGAGCAAGCTCATTTGGGGAAACTGATCTGTAGCACATATGTGGGAGTTGGATTGTTGGACCAAGGGTATAGCCATTCATTTCACTGAGAAGCATGAATTATTCTCTGAAAGGACTTTCTGTTGGCCCTTCCCTCCCTTCCTTCCCTCCTCCCTTCCTTCCCTCCCTTCCGCTTTCCTGTCTGACTTCCTGACTTCCTACTTTTCTTTCTTCTTTATTTTCCTTCCTGATGCTGAGGACAGACCCATGTTCCCGCTCCTGTTCTGCAAGCTGTACCACCGAGCCACAGCCCCGGCCCTTTTGGCTCTTTACTCTGGCTCCCAGCTCTCTGTTTTTAATGCCCAGCGTCTCTAATGGGTTCTCACTTATGATCATTTGCTTTATTTTACCAAATTTTCCTTCCTCTCTTTGAGGGAAAGTCTGACACTACTTTTCAGTGCTCTCTTTCCTTGGCTCGTTACTGTGAATCTGTCTAGCATCACGTGTTCTGCTTGCTTTCCTCTGTGGTTATTCTCCCCTCTGAGTTAGTCGCTTAGAACAGCAGGCACGAGGCCCGCAATGTGAGCCTCTGCAGTTGGCTTTGCTCAGGTCCCACACTGTGTTGTTCTGAAGTTGGGAGAGAGAGCGAGAGACCATGAGGGTGGTACCTGGGGAGTGGTGGGAGAGGCTGGATGAGTTGAAGGCCCGCAGTGGCAGGGAGAGCCTATGGGGGTAACGGGAGTCAACCTTGTAGCCTGCCTGGGGGTTCTGCTTGCTAACCATCTTCCTGGGTTTGAAGCACCTGGTGCTTAAGACGGGCTGGGGGGCATGGGAAGAGGGACACACAAGGATGAGGCGTCTGTCTGTCCCCACTATACTTTTTGACATAGTCTCTGAAAGCCCAGGAGGGAGCCAGCGGCACCTCGCAGGCAGCCCCGCTCTCCTGGGCTGCTTTCCCGGAGAGGGAGTGCTGCGGCAGCTCTGTGCCTATGGCAGTGAGGAACAGAAGGAACATACGTGAGACGTTTCTCTTTGCCCTCTTTTCCTTCCTCCTCTCCCACTTGTTCCTTTAACTGCACACATTCATCAGGCACAGGGTACAGTGTGATGTCTTGACACACTCACGGAGTGCACAGCGGCCAAATCAGGATAACGAGCACATCCGTCTCCTCAGGACTTTAGACCCTTTTCTGTGAAGCTCCGAAATTCTCTTTTCTAGTCATGGCGAAACATGTGCTATTATTGGCTACAGTCACTGGATTTCCCCACCCATGCGCCCATGCACTTCATCAGGTTCCACACAGCTCCTTTGGGCTCCCTGGGCCTCCCCTGGGCTGAGCCATGACCATACCCTCCTTTCCTGCCTGAAGGGTTTTCCAAGTTTGCTGTGTCATTCACTATTCGCAGGAAAGAGAGTCCCGTGGCCACCTCAGAGCCAGGGCCGATGTCTGGCTGGACAGACGAATGCAATGGCTGGGCTGGGCTGGTGACTTGACTGGTTTTCTCATTGATGATGAAAAGTTACACCTCTTGCCCTCCTGGCCCTGATCTGGCATAAGCCTTGAGCCTTCCTGAGCCTCCTTGATCTCTCCCTCTCCTCACCTGTTAAAAATGGCAGCCACAGCTCAGCCCACTCCATCCCCTGCTCTGCTGGAAACCTGACGCAGAGAACAGAATGTAATACATTAGGAGCATCATACCACAGAGATATACACACACTCATGTGCATAGCAGCATAATTTGTAAGAGTTAGTTTGTAGAAACTGCCTAGATGCCCATCAACAGGTGAGAATAAAGAAAACGGGGTTTTTATACACAGAGGAGTACTACTTTGCCATAAAGAAAGAAAGGTAAACTTGAGACATTATTTAGGTAAATGGTTGCACTGTGAGATGATACTTTTAAGTGAAATAAAACAGATGCATATACTTAAATATTGCACTGTTTCTCTCCTGTGAGAAACTGAAAGTGTAATAAAGACCAACATGGATGATAGATATTGGGAAGTAGGAAGAAGATGTTCAAGTGGGAAGAGGAACAAGGGAGGGGGGAAGGGAAGGGAGGGTAAAAGAAGAAAGACAATGGGAGGAGAAAAAGGAAACAAAGCTTTTATAAATGGGAGAGGGAGGAGGAGGTGAAGGGAGGAGAGGGGAATGGAGGAAGAAAAGAATGAAGACACATCATGTACATACAGCTACAAAGTCCCTATGATGAAGGTGATCCATACCTATGAGAAACGCGCACTGTGAAAATAAAGTTAGAAATGTAGTAAGGAGGATGCATTGTGATGAAGCATGCCAGGAAGGTTAAATCGTCACTGGTAGAGACAGAGGGAAGGAGACAGGAAGAGAGAGAGGAGGGAAAAAGACACAGACAGACAAAGAGACAGAGACCGACAGAGAGGGACAGAAACGGACGGAGTGCATTGCTCCCCAGACGGAGCCCAGGCCGTGCGCCGGGGCTCTGAGCTTGGTCCTCTACCTCCGCTGGGAGCAGAGCTGAGACCAGGGTGTGAGGGAGCCCGAGGAAGGTGTGTGAGGGACACACAGACACACACACACACAGACACACACACACACACACACACACACACTCGCAGCTGAGGTCCGGCTGCCTTCCGGTTTCCGGTTCCTCTCTTCGAAGAGGCGTGGCTCCACTCCCTTGTCCTTGAGGTCTTCATTTAAAAAGCGCCCACTTTTTCCTTAGCTCACATGAATTCATTAACCTGAAGTCAGCACAGTCAGTGCAATGTCTCCTTCGTAAGTAATTTTTACTAAAATAAATTGTATTTTTAGGGCTGTTGCCCTCCTAGCTCTAGAACAGAGGCATTGTTTTTCAGTTTTTCTTTTTTCAGTAATGCAGGTTTGCAGGGCACCAGGATCACACTCCTCATGGTGGGTGAGCGGGTGCGTGTGCAGAACTTGTACCAATTCTCTTTTCTTCCCGTCCCCTCCTCTCTCCTCCTCTCTCCCCATTTCTCCATCCCCTTCCCATTGCACAAGATCTATCTCCTTCCTTGCTATGATCGATCTTTTATTTTGCTCTTTATTTATATCTTGAGTTTCTTATATACAAGAAACTATGCCACACTCTAGCCTTTGTGTCTGATTTATTTCACAGAAGCATCTTACTTCGTACCCGACCCCCTTCCCTGGGATACACATTAGTAGGAGGGAGAGGCAGATTCCACTCCTGTCAGGAGACCAGGTGTCCTCTTTTGTGAGCTCTCTGCTCGCTTGGTTTCTGTACACTGTCCCCTCCTGGGGCCGGTGGGCTTGTGGGGTGAGAAGCGGGGTTCCCGGAGAGGGTAGGTCATATGCACAAGAGGCTGCGTGTCCTGGCCATCAGGAGCTACAGATGCCGCCCTGGCAAGAGATCCAGAGGTCGCTGGACCAGGACACCCCTTGACCAGCCCTTCTGGGGGCCTGGGGTGGATATGAGGTTGGCCACCAGGCTGTGTGGCCTTGGGGACACTGGCAAAGGCTGTATGGTCCTACCAGTGGTCAGTAGGAGGGCAGCTGAGGGGCACCTTACAGCCTTCCCGGGTGGCAGGGTACGACAGAGGGAAAAACCAGCTCTTGGCAGGGGCAGTCGGCAGCAAAGGAGAAACACAGTCAGCGTCCTGTATCTCTTGTGTATTTAAGGACTCAGTCAACTGCAGAAAGTGTCTTTAACTGCCATTTAAGATATATCCTATTTGTGGTTATTAATTTTATAAAATATTAGGTTTTGATGTGTATACTTCCATCACATCCATTCCCCTTCTTACCCACTCCAAATTGCCATTTGTATTGAACACACATAGGCTTCTTTCTTATTATTCCCTAGGCAATACTTTATAACTATCTACACAGCATTTATGTTGTGTTAGGGACTGTAAGTCTTCTAGACACAGTTTAAAATATACAGGAGGATGTGCGTATGTTCTACGCAACTACTACATCATTTTCTATAAGCAACTTGAGCACTGCAGATTTTCCTATACCCTGGGATGCCAAAGGGTGGCGGAACTGACTGTTCAGAATGGATAAAAGGCCTTTCTTCCTTTCTTTGAAGTCAGAAAGCTCTGGGATAGATATGTGTCCTGGAGTGGTGGATCATAAATACTGTGTGACACTGGCCATTTTAACCAAACATGGTGCTATGGTTTATGTCTAGGTGTCCCCCCGTCGTGTGCTCATAGGCAGGGCTTTTAAAAAGTGATTGAATCATGAGGTGCTGTAGCTAAATGTGGTGTCAGAGTCAGGGCCTGGTCGGAAGAGGTGGGCACTGGGGGCGTGGGCTGGGAGGGTCGCTCCTGTCCTCAGCTCCTCTCCTCACTCTGCTTCCTGACTGCTATGAGTGGTTTTCGTCTTCCACCGTGTCACTGACCATGCAAGGCCTGAAACTTCTAAAATGTGAGCCAAAATAAACTTCTCCTTCTTTAAGTTGCCCAGGGTTGAGGAAAGTAAGATCCTTGGAAAGAAGGGGATGGAACTGGGAGTGAACTTGAATAAATCCGATGAGACAATTGTTAGACTCCACGTGTCATAGAAGAGGTCACACTTATTCTATGAGCATTTAGATAACTGCTAGGATCCAGGGGAATCCTTCTTTATGGATGCATTGTGCTCTATCATATTTTCTTGGGGATGCTTTTAAGTGAAAATATATAACCAACCTATTATATCAGGGATAAAAAGTAAAAAAAAAAAAAAAAAAAAAAAAAGAGTTATCTAAGGGATAACAAGTTGGCATTGGGCCAAGCAAAGGGCCAGTCTAAACTGACTGCAGCAAAAAGACTCCAGAAAAAGAATATCAGGAAGTTCACAGAACAGATAGAAAGACAAGAGCTTGGGACAGAAACCGAGGGATGATGGAACCACAGTCATGTGTCAGGTTAGAGGGATGCTACTGGCCACTGGCCGCCACCTGACACTGACATTTCCATGGGTGGAACTCACCCTGTGCTGTCCTTGGCTTTCTTGTCACTTGCTACAGACCCAGCAGAGTGGCTGGGTACTTGTTTGCTCAGGCTAGGGATGCAGGGCTAAGGGGGAGCAAATAGTTGGCTTCCTGGCTACTGCAGTGGCAGGGGTGGGTCCTCTAAGACAACAGCAGATCCCCAAATCAGAGGCTGTGCAGCTGAAACTTCCCATATAAAAAGCAGCCACACTTATGTACTTCTGAGTGTGTTGCAGGCGTCTACGTATCACAGTTTCTCTGGTTTCTCTGCTCTTCTCTCTTTCTTCCTTCCTTTCTTTCTTCTTCCGTTCTTTCTTCTTTCTTTCTTTCTTTGTTTCTTTGTTTCTTTCTTTGTTTCTTTCTTTCTTTGTTTCTTTCTTTCTTTCTTTCTTTCTTTCTTTCTTTCTCTTTCTTTTTTTCCTTTCCTTTCCTTTCCTTTCCTTTCCTTTCCTTTCCTTTCCTTTCCTTTCCTTTCCTTTCTTTTCCTTCCTTCTTTCCTTCCTTCCCTCTTTCTTTCTTTTGTCTTGTTGAGACAGGGTCTCGCTATGCAGTTCAGGCTGGCCTTGAGCTCACTTTGTAGCCCAGGCTGGTCTCTATCTTGTAACGACCCTCCTGCCTCAGCTTCCTGAGTGCTGGGATTACAGGAGCGTACCACCATGCCTGGCCTCCTCTGCTTTGCTCATGTGCTGCAGTCTCTGTCGACTGGTTTCTCTACTTTCCTGGTTGCAACCCAACCTCCAAGCCTGGGGGTCTGGAATCTTTGCTTTTGCTGGGGGAATCTTTGCCCTTTGCCTAGATGTTATATGGAATTAAAAAATCAGTACTAAAATCCATCGCCACCATTACCTGTGACAGTCACTAAAATCAAGTATCAAATATGACTTGAAAAATCGCTATATCATAACATATTAGAGCAAGGTGTAAAGAATTCACTAAGATTAGCTAGCTGGTCATGATCGCACACTCCTATAATCGCAGCATTTGGGAGGGTGAGGTAGGAGGATAAAAGTTCAAGCCAAATCTGGGCAACTTATTGAGATCAGCTTAAAAAATAAACTAAAAAGAAGGGCTGGGGATATAGCTTAGTGTGAAGAGCTGGGATACAGTTCCAGTACACACACACATACCCTGAAAAAAAAGCCAGAAGTAAAACCTAAGATTTTTCAATCACATTGTTCTCATAAAAATTTTAATATTACTTACAAAGCTTTTTATGTGGTTGATAATTCTTTTGAGCTATTAAAATCTTTCCTTTACAATTCCCTACTTTTATGTCTCAACATGTTCCCAATAAGTTAATATAGATGCAAATATATAAAGTTACAAATAAAATGATATCAATACACCAGCACTGTCTGGAAAATTGTTTTTTGGACAAATTTTTTTTTTTTTCTTTTGAGTTTTGGGAATCAAACTCAGGACCTTGCGATTGCCAGGCAGGCGCTTATACCACTGAGCTATATCCCCGGCAGACAAAAATGTTTGGAAACCACCACTGCATACTACAAATGTCACTAGATGTTTATAATTGTTATCCGCCGTTTAGAACACATTAAATTTGACAAGTGCTTATTTCTGCTACCTTTCTGGTACATACACAATGAAATGTTTACTTCCTTTTTATATATATATTGCATGTCATGTATGTCTTTGTATGTGTATGTATATATACAAGGACTTGTTCATCTGTCTCTAAACTTCAAATTTCAAATCCATCTTAGTGTGCAGCCTTGTTCCTTACTGGTCTATTTTTCCTCTCATATCGACTCTTCACTCATTTTGGTTTCCTTTTTTAAAATTTAAACTTTTCTGAGCATTTCCTTGGAGTTCTTTCCCAGTGCATCTGAGTCAGTTCCGACCTGGCTGTCTTACAGGCTGTGTCTGTCTCCGCGTTCTCTCTTATCCGGCAGCACCGCTGGTTTCAGGCCGCTCCTCCCTCCATTGCTCCCATTCCCCTTGGGAAAGCAATCAGCTCCCTAGGGAGGCTCCGTGGAGATCGAGAACCGGGCACCCATTAGTTCTGGCTTCATTGCTGGGGCAGAGATAGGACGCTGCAGGCAGGGCAGCCTGGCACCACAGTCCCTAGGACCAACTACGGGGCAGGGCCATGGTGGGGCAGTCCCCTAGCGGGGGTTCTGGTCTTCCCCGCTGAACGTATCCTCCCTTAATGGAGCCTGTGGGTATCAAAGGTGATATCAGACAGACTGAAGTCCGGGTTATGCAAGGCAGGGGTCACAGCCGCCTTGCAGGAGGCAGAGAGTGATGTGTACTTGGTTCTTACAGTGGGGAGAGGGTCTGAGCCTTACACCTCCCAGGTGAGGGGGATTCTCATCTATAAGGCACCTCCTTACAATACCCTGTGTCCTAAGATAGAACTCAGTGGGCATGAGGCCCCAGAACCTTATTCTCTGAATCATCCAAACTGTTTCCCTTTGAAGGCTGTCCCCACCCCACCCCAGCACAGTCTAAACAGGAGGCCATGAGGTCAGCCCCTCTGCCACACGGACTCTGTCCCTGTCAGGTGGCTTCCTGTGTCCCCTTATCGCCCTGTGCCCCAGGGTGCTGGGGCACGAGTGTCCCTGGCACAGTGTGTCCGTGGCTGTCCAGAGCAGAGGCTGATCTTGGGGTGCCCCACAGCTTTGCTCTTGGGGGATGTCATCTCTCAGCCTCTGAGCATGTCCGGGAGGATTCACTGGTCCCCTGCCCACCTGCGGTGGTAACCTGAGCCCCCAGGGGCCGCAGCCACTGGGCCAGGGTGCTTTCCTCTTTCTCACAGTTTACATGCTCCAGCTCCTCTTCCGTGTCAAACGATTTCCCCGTGAACGCCGTGGGTAGCGAGTCCCCTGCCTTATCAGCTCCGGCAGCTAGAAGCCCAGTTTCCAGGAAAGCAGTCACATGATCCAAGCTGGTGAGACCCTTTCCCCAGCCCAGCCCCTGTGTGGCATTTATGTCCAGCACCGCACGGCAGGCTGGCTTTTCAGTGGAGGCCACGTGACATCATTTCCAGCACTGCTGCGCGCTCTGTGCAGTGCGGCAAAGGAGTCTGTGGGGCGGCAAGCACGGTGGGCCCACTCCTTTTTCTTCTCAGAACATCCCCGGCCCTTGCTCCCTTCTCTGGCTAGAAATGGTGTGGCTGGGGCTCTGGGAACCCATGCCTGAGATGTAACTATGGCTCAGCGTGGCCCAGCTTTCTGGGTGGCCCTGAGAGAGATTCCACTGGGAGGAGGGGCCCTTCCCTTGCTGCTGGGGAGTGGAACCCATTTCTCTGAACCCCACGTCACGCAAGGCACTCAGTGAAAAGTAGCTGTGATGCGGACATACACGTACCTCCTATTAGGTACCTCTGGAGACCATCTTCAAGATGCTTTGGTGACATGAAAAAGCCGGACGCTGTGTCTCATGATACAAAGAGGATCTTTGTATAACCATATATGTCTCCCCTAGAGAACCAATAAATAATGTTGCTGCTCCGGCTGGGCTGGCTTTCCATAGCTGCTGGGAGCCCGCTGGCTCCCAATGGCAGCTTCTCCTATTTCAATTTCCATGTCCTCTCGGTTTGTAACTCAAGGAGCTCCCTGGGCTTAGGGACAGCTGACGACTTGACAGTGTTGCAGGGTGCCACCTGGGAAGGGGTGGGTGGGCAGGGGGAGGTTTGGTGCCCAAGAAGGGGATCTGGCCATGTGAGCGAGTAATGAGATGAACATGAGCACCGCTCATGGGAGGATCCCCGGCAGCCCTCTTTTCACCTCCTGATCTTTCACCTCTTCCCTTTGCCAGAAGGGGGCCGGGCCCAAATGGAGGGGTGTAACATTAAATTCAGGGTCAGGCCTGGCCAGACTGCACTCCGTGCTGTCAGAGAGCTCTGAGGAGCTCAGAGCAGAGCCATCCTCCGTGCACAGCCACTGATCCATGCAGCAGGCATTGATTGCTATGGCTGCACCCCGGGGCAGGGTAGGGCTCAAGCACACACAGGGACCCATAGTGGGGTGAGTAGGTGACCAAAGGTGACAGGAGCCATGATGCCTGGGTCCCTGTCCCCTCTTGCTCTTCCCACCCCTCCATACCAGGTCCCTGGCCCTCCCCCAGTAGGGGCTTTTTCCTTCTGGGTCGAGGTAAACCCTTCACTGTCTTAGCCCTGGACAGGGACAGCTGACCCGGGTTAGGTGACTGGAAAGAACATGGGACAGTCCCCCTGCCCCAGCTGTCACTGTGTTACTGAGCGCCGGGCATGTCACTTGGGGAGTGGCTGGTTGAGGTGGTTGGTGGCTGAGCATTACTGTAGCAGCCAAGATGTGGCCAGGCCCTGGTTCATCCTGTCCCCCAGTGTGGGGTGGACATCTCAGAGAAGGCCATTTAGGATGACAACAGGGACGGAGTGGCTCCCGGCTCCAAGGGACATCTTTGCTCAGAGCTCACAATGACACTCATGTATTTATCCCCAGGCAGTGCTGCCACCAAACCTGCCCACCGCTGCCGTCTCGTGGACTCTGCATGCTGTTAGCATTTAATAAATGTTAAAAAAAATAGCAGCATCCGGGCCTCTGCCCTTCACAGAAAGGCCTGTGAGACCACTGCCAGTGAAGTTCCTCCTTTGTGAGCCCAGATTGACCCCTAAACCACAGAACCCAGAAAACAGGACCCGAGAGGGCTGAGGGGTGGGTGAGGAGTTTGCCCTAAACCTAGCCAAGACTCAGAGGTCACCGTGCGGTGGACGCAGCCAGGTGCTTGGACTGAGATGCCTAGATGTTTGCCATTTCCAAACCCAGGCCATGGCTCTCCTCCCGGCTTCCTGGTCCTGTGAGCAGGCTGTGCCTAACCAGGCTGATGGCTGTCACACGTGGCTGTGGTGGGGCGGTTCGGAGCGCAGCCAGCCCGCCCTGTGCCCCTCTCCTCCTGGCCTGCCCCTCGCAGGCTCCGTACCACTGTGGTTGAGCTAACACTTCCTTGTCTGGCGGTTGAGTGGAGAGGGACTGGGGTTTCCGGTCAGCCTGCATCTGTGGGCTTTGTCCTCGTCTTTCTTGTAAAACAATTCTCCTGCCTCCTCTTCACCCACAAGGCCTGGCCAGTGGAGTCTTGGCAAAGTGTTTTCTCAACCAGCTCTTGCTGTGTCTCTCTTTCTCACCCTGAAGAAAAGTGAACATTGCAGATGGGAGAGGATCTTTGTTTTTTTTTTTTTTATTTATTTATTTTAAAAATAAAAGGAGGAAAGCATGAACAGACAGACAACCTTTTACAAAATAGCAAAAGAACAGTACATACAATACAGAGTTAGAAACAAAGTGGTAGGAAATTAACAATGCTTGTTGTATTACATATTGATCTCTTCAAAGTGGGAGAGGATCTTTGTCTCCTGATATCCCAATGGTCAGGGATAGAAGACAGACTCCCTATAACTTCTGTCTTCTCCCCTCTGAATCTTTTTTTGAAGGAGCTGTGGGGAGTGAAACCACCAGGGCTTGATGCTACAGCTGCTGAGAAAACCTGGATTGCTCCATCCCTTTCTTCACTACAGCAGCTCTGTGAGAAGCCCATTTTACAGATGGGAACATTGAAACCCAGGAAATGGTCACTTCCACTTTCCGAGCCATTGTGATGGCAGCAACAGATATTTTCTGGGGATGCTGGGCAGTATAGGTGGGTGCACTGTTAGCATGACCAGCCATTACCTCAGTCTGGAAAACTGGGAAGGATGGGCACCATCAAACACTCCTCCACCTCTTTCATCCCTGTGGTGCTTCTGATCCTGTGATCTCCATGGCTCAAGTCCTGCTGTCAGGAAAGGCAGACACCACTCTGGGGGAGGGGGATGGCCACTCATGGAGTTGCCATGTGCATCCTAGGAGGAGACTTTCTAGCACAGGGCTGGGAAAGGAATGAAGGCCCAAGACCTGTTCCTATTCACCTGATGGGTGTGAAGAGCAGAAGAAAGGAAGAGAGGACCCAAGTGACCACAGAACTAGGGAATCACTTGTGGTTGAAGTCACTACCTAAGTGGAACACCCTGGGAGCTGAATTTAGGACTGGCATTCCCATGTGCTCCTGGCATCCTCACAGCTGTGACCAGGTCTGGGAGGCGGCACATAGGACACAGGTTGTAGGTGAGAAAACCCAGCATTGGAGCAGGTTGTAGTGCTTGCCCAAGCAAGGATGGGGCTACGCAAGGATTTGTACCTTGCATTGGTTCATGTGTTAGCCAGCTTTCCATTACTGCAACAAATGCCTGAGACAAATAGACTTTCAGGGAGGAAAGGTTTGTTTAGCCTCAGGGGTTCTGAGATCTCGTCCATGGTTGGTGTGTCACTGGCTTTGGGCCTGTGGTGAGGCAGAACATCGTGGTGGGTGCGTATGGCAGAGGAGGCTGCTTACCTCGTGGAAGCCAGGAAGCAGAGAGGGAGGGACAGAGAGGGAGGAAGACAGAGGGAGGAAGGGGTCAGAGTCCCACAGTCCCCTCTAGCAAATCACCAAATCTTATCCCATGAGGTTTCTCCTCTTAAAGGTTCCACTGAAGGCTGGGGACTGAGCCTTTGGCACATGGGCTTTGAGGGACGCATAAAAACCATAGTGTAGACCTCAAAGTCCGGTGTTTGATCCTGAGCTCAACTGCCTCCAGGAGCAAAGTGGGAGGGACCATGGGAACTCAGGAAGGGGCTGGAAAGACTTACAAGGCAGGGAGGCAGGAGGAAGCAAAGGAGCCCTGGGGACTGGGTGCTGGGGTAGAGGGGCTTCCAGGTGAGTCTATGGGAAAGGCCTCTGCATCCGGGCCTTCCTGTGCAGCAGGCATGTCTGTTTCCTCCCGCAGGCTAGCAAATCAAGCCTCCCCCAGATCTGTGAGATTCATTGACTCCTCCTCCTCATTATCTTCGTCTCCATTTTACAAACCAGGAGAGTGAGACCCAGGTTGAAAAGGAACCTGGCCGAGAAGCCACACAGCTAGGAAGTGATGCAGCTGGCTTGGCTTATGGCTACGGTGGGAAGAGGTTCCCCTTTCCCTGGCCACTTCCTCGTCCTCCCGCTCTTCCCCTTCTTTCTGTAGCCTCTTTGTTCCTGCAAGTCCAGAACAGTGCAATCTAAGCAAAATCCTCTTTCCCAGCCAGCTTCTTTCCCTTCCTCTTTTTTTTTTTCCTTTCCTGAAGCTGGAAATGCTGAATCCTTCAGCTTCCGCCACACTGCATCAGGAAAATGCTGATGCTATGGTTTGGGGTCGGGGGAGTCGGTGGTTGGTACTGAATAGAAAACCCCAGGTGTGCGTGTGTGTGTGCGTGTGTGTGTTGAAATGCAGTTGCTCCAGGAAAATGTTGGATCCTGCAGCTTAAAGATCACCCTGTCCCACCCTCTTTTATTCCTTTTCCAAACCATCACAGATACCTTCACGCTCAGTCTCCTTTCAGGAGCTCGGGGAAAACGCCAAGCCTGAGCTCACCTGTTGGCTTCCTCCCAACTCGCTGCGCAGGAAGTAGCTTTGTGTATCACTGACACCTGTGTGTGATGGGAAACCAGGGCGGGAGAAGCCGACCCGGGAGGAACCAGTGCCGGGTGTGGGCTCCCCGCCTGCCCCAGAGCCTCACCCGCCCCACCCTCCTGACAAAGGGGCACTTCACCTGCCCGCCCCCTTCCCAGCGCCACCCCTGCACCACCTCCTCAGCCGTCGTTACTCACCCATTTCCAGTCTGTGCCCGCTCACTGCACTGAATTTGCCCTGGGCTTGTCCTGGGCTGTCCCGGCTGTGAACCACACTTCAGTAGGTTGAAATGGCTGAGTGAGTCCAGAACCGGCCGAGGTTGATGGCCTCGTGGGTAAAGAAGTCAGAATCAGTGGCTCCCTAGTGCTGTGAATTCTTTTTCTGCTGAGAAATCAGGGACCTAGATTCCTACCAGAGCTGCACAGAAAAGCCACTGCCTTCTCCATAGAAATCCTTTTGCAGAGAGGCCAGTAGGGGAGACAAGGCCACAAGCAAGGGCGATGCCTTGGTATTTGGCTGCTGCTCTGTATCTGCAGGCTGTGTGTTCAATTCAGCCAAATGTGGATGGAAAATGTTCAGAGAAAAAACTGGGACTGCACATGCATAAACATTCTTGCTATTATTTCCTAGGCCATGTAGTATAGTAACTATGTGGCATTTGCACTGTGTCAGGTATTATAAGTCATGAAGATGTGGTTTAAAGAATTCAAGAGGCTGTATGTACACTCTGAGCAAATACTACCTATTTACATAAGGGATCTGAGCAGCCTTAGATTTTCTATCTGCATGGGTCCTGGAACACATCCTCCAAGGACAACGTGTGACTTATACTCCATCACTGTTAGAGTAGCAACAATACAGAAACCAATCTTTAGAGCCTGTAGTAAGTGCTCAATAAGAGGTCATTGGATACATAAAGGAAAACTGTGTTTTATGTTTGAAGTTCGAGCAATTGTACACTGAGAAACAGAATTATCTGTAGTCAAAATTTAAATGTTGATACAAAAATATATTATTGTAATCCAATCTGGCTGAAGGTAGAGAAATTCGAGATATGGAATAGTTCATGAAACCAAGATGATAAAAAGAGAAAAACAAAACTCACAGAAAAAAGGAACAGTGACAGAGATTCAGCCCTTTGACCAAAGGCAGGGCTGTGCTATAACACTGCACAGGTTGAATACAGCACAATTTCAGAATGTACTTTTCATAGAAAAACTGCAGTAAGGAGGACCACCCTGAGATTTGGCAAGGTGATAGTTCTACATAGAAGCTTTCCAGTCACTTACTGAGGGATACATGGATTCAGTCATTTAAAATGTTAATTATGAGATTATAATAGATTCATAGGAAGTTGCAAAATGATGTCCAAGAATGTCCTACACACCCTGCATCCATTTCCCCCAGAATGTCCCACACACCCTGCATCCATTTCCCCTTGCAGAACCAGATACAATAGAAAATGCTCACTTCGGGGCTGGGGATTTAGCTCAGCGGCAAAAGCGCCTGCCTGGCAAGCGCAAGGTCATGAGTTCGGTTCCCGGTACCGGAGAAAAACCAAAAAAAAAAAAATAAATAAATAAATAAATAAAATGCTCACTTCATGGTGGCCAGGAAGCAAAGACACAGAAACAGGACGGGTTGGGGTCTCAATCTCCCCTTCAAGACCACACCCTGAAGGCCTAATTTACTCCCACTAAGCCCCACCTCTTAAAGATTTCACTATTTCCAGTAGCACCACAGGCTGGGGACCAAGCCTTTAATACATGGTCCTACGGGAGTCACTCCAGATCCAAAATAGAGGTGAGAGGAGAGAGAGAGAGAAACTGGATTACACCACACATCGGTGGCCTGGGAAAAGATCCAAATTCAAAAAGTGGTTCAACTGAATACATGTTGCCTTTGCAGCACTGTAAAGTTAAAAAATTACAAGCAGAGCCGTTGAAAGTTGAGGGCCTCTGCAGGGTTGCGTTAACGTGGTGGCAGACTCCTGGAACCACCCACCAGCAGGGACGCAACTGTCCCCGTCACCACCACTCTTAAATCCTCTGCCATATGCAACCTCTGGGAACCACGAATCTTCTCCAAAGCTCGATAATGTTGTCCTTTTCAGAAATTATTTCTCAAATAATTTTGGACATTCTACTTTTTAAAAATACTTGATGCTTTTTTAAAAGATTGAATTTCCAATATACTTTATGTGAAAAAAGAGGATCTTTTTTCTTGTCATCAAGGACTCAGCTCTTTACAAGGGCTTTGGTGGAGGTTGTGGAATGGCACCCACAGGTCTGAATCATGGTGCATTTGGTCTTTTGGCTTCATGAAATCAATTCCTAAGTGTCTTCTTGCTGGTGGCACAATCCAGGCATTAGAACAGCTCCGTGGACTGCCCGGGCAGCACATAGACATTGAAGATGCTTGATTTTGCAATGTCCCTTCTGTGGCTTCTACTATGTTTGAATGATGATCTTCTTAATGGGCCACCCTGGGACAAGCACCAGGGGTGAGGGGACCCCATGGATGGTGAAGTCAGGAATCTGGTACCTGCAGAGGGTGGGCAGCAAGGAAGCCAGGAGGGCACCTTGATGGACGAAGCACTTCCTGTGTACCAGGAACTCTCCAGAGGTTGATGTTGGCTGCCTGCTGATGGTGCCCCAAGAGGCTGCCTCTTCCTCAGGGGTATTGCCACCCCTCACTACTCTCTATGTCTTTTTCATGGCCAACCCATGGACTGCCATCCCCTGAGGTCAGGGATAGCTCTGGCTACTGGGAGAGCTAGATATGAACTGTAGGCTTCTGGCCACTGAGTGCTCAGCTTTTTCTTGGTAATAGCAAAAGCTACGGCTGCTAGGAGCCGCTTCCAATCCTCTGTGCTGTAGTTTGGCTTGGGGATGTTCTGCGAAGGCCCAGGTGTTTAAAGGCTTGGTCCCCAGGGTGGTGCTACTGGGAGGTAGTGAAACCTTTAAGAGCTGGGGTTTTAGGGCTGGGGATGTAACTCAGCGGCACAAGCACCTGCTTGGCAAGTGCCAGGTCCTGAGTTTGATCTGCAGTACCAAAAAAAAAAGAGAGATGGGGCTTTGCAGAAGGTCTTGAGGTCTTTGGAGGTGGGGTGCTCTTGAAAGGAATAGTGGGATCCTGGCCCTTTCTTCTTCTTCTTCTTTTTCTCTTCTCCTGCCATGATGTGCTGCCTTGCCACAGCCCCCAAAGCAATGGGGCCGACCAACCACAAACTGAAGTCTCAAAATCTGTGAGCTGCAATCAACTTTATCTCTTCATACACTGATTATTTTGGGTATTGGTTACAGTGATGGAAACGGACTACCGCTTGGGGTGCCTTTGCTGCCCCTCTGCCCCAGCTGCTGGGACCTAATGCCGCCTGAGAGCCGGAGGCAACGTGTCTTTGCCACTGTGGTATCACTTCCCGCAGCTACCTCAGGTTGTTACTGCTGAGGACATGGGGAGAAACACACAATCACTGGCACTTTCCTCATTTGCAGGAGTTAAACATTCATAGAGAGGAACCCATTGTTCTAAATCCCCCGCTGAATGTGAGGTTTAGGAAATTCCCTTCTTGAGATTAATAAGCTCAGCGGTGCGGTGAGACAAGGTTTCTGGCGACACACAATAATTGGCCTATTATCTGGGAACTCCGGCTGAATTGGCACAAGCTGACACTGAGCGGGGGGCTTTAAACCTGGGGGAGAGTGACTCAGGCACAGGAAGTTGCTATGTCCACAGACCTCTGAGAATATTCATGGCGATGGTAAGTTAGGCACAGCGTAAAGGCATAAACTAAGTATCACTCAGAGCTATGTGTCAAAGCCTTTGTGGCCTGATGCATCATGCAGAGAAGAGGAAGTCTTGGTGCTTCACCCTGGCTTGGGCACCAGTGAATAAACCACAGCTTTTCAGAGGCAGAATCCTCCAGCATTATGTTCTAATAGTACAGTAGGTTGGAAATTTACAGCTGCCATTGAAGTGGGGATACTTGCCATTGCTTGACTAGCATCGTGGCCCAATGGTTCATGATGTTCTATTTGTATACTTTATTCATTAGGCAAATAATGATCGTGCTTTGGGGAATTTGTGAGCCCCTTGATAACTGTGACACATGACTACCTTTCTGTCTGCATTTGAAATTTCCTTCTAGGTTGCAACCTGACCATAAAGAAAGACATCATGAAGGATGGCATTTGAGTTCATGGAAGTTCACAGAGGAGTGAGAAAGTCACCTTATCATTGTCTCTGGGTTCATTCAAGACCATGAAATGGAGCCTAAATCCATCCACCATGGTAGGCACTTTCGTGACTTTGCAAATTTACTGGTGAATGATTCACTAAAACTTTTTTCTTGGAAACCCCCACTTTTGGAGCCACTCTTGGGATAAAATAACTGGAAGTCCTTGTGCATCATTTAAGGGTATGGCTTTCCTTTATGGTAAATTCCAAATCTAAGCCAGTCACATGAAAGCCAGACCCAAAGTACATCAATCCTATGTCAAACATGGGAACTATTTTGTTTAGAAGTAAGAGTGTGGGATGCACCGGAGAGGAATGGAACCCAGGGCCTTGTGCATGCTAGCAATGTGCTCCACCACTGAGTTACATGCCAGCCTCAGCTGTTCTGTCTTTATAAGAAGTTGTTACATTTATGACTGAGTTACCAGCACCCTTTTCTCCTTGTAGCAAGTATCATTTCTATGACGGAAAGTTTTACCCTCTCTTACCTACAATTCTAATATGTAGGAAGCCATGAAACCTGCAAGTATTTTGTATACTACATACCACTTTGGTAGCGAAATTTGACCTGAACTGACTCAAAACTATTTATAGGTTCTATTTCTCTCTTACTATGAATATTTATGTTTCTTGGCAGAAACATTAATGTGTTAAAATGAGACAATGTCCATGCTACAGATGTCCTAAGAGAGCGTTACACAATATATGATATGTGCATTTATCTTCCTGAAAATCTGAACAAGGCTGAATTTGTTAACAAGCCTGTTCTAAGGGATTTCATAAGAGATTCTGGGTCTGAAGAATACTTTTCGTTTAATTCTACATAGATGCCAGATGCCTATTTGACAGAAGATGGGATACAACAGACAACTCAGCCAGTCAGGTGTTCCGTCATTTGTCTCTGACAAAGTCCAAGCCCACCCAAACCCATGTGAAACCCCGGAGTCCCCACTCTTCCCCAGCCTGCCCCAGATCTGAGCAGCAGCCCTCTGAGCTGCCTGCGCCCAAAGTGTTGTTTCCTGGAGCCTGGTCCTATCTTCTGTAGGTACAAAGAGAGTGGGTGGGGAGTGCTTTGGTTGCTAAGGCTTCCGTTGGGGTGTGTAAGGCCTTCTGGTAAATCCACTGAGTCATTCCTCATTAACTTATCACTCAGTTAACATGATTATGCACCTTTAGTGATCTAGGTATGTTTTACTGGAGGAAGAGAGGGAAAGAGAGAGACAGAGAGAGACAGAGAAAGACAGAGAAAGAGACAGAGAGAGGCAGAAAGAGACAGAGAGACAGACAGAGAGAGGGAAAGACAGAGAGGGAGAGAAAGAGAGGGAGGGAGAGGGGGAGAGAGAGACAGAGAGAGAGAGATAGAGAGACAGAGGGAGAGAGACAGAGAGAGGGGGGAGAGAGAGAGAGGCAGGAGAGAGAGGGAAAGAGAGAAGGAGAGAGAGACAGAGAGACAGAGAGGGAAAGAGACAGAGAGGGGGAGAGAGAGACAGACAGAGTGGGGAGAGAGAGAGAGACAGAGAGAGACAGAGAGAGACAGAGAGAGAGAGAGAGAGAGAGGGAGAGAGAGGCTCTGACTAGTATTTTCCTAGACAATGTTTCAAAGAATCCAATACTAATGGATTTTAGAAGAAGCTCCCATGATGCAATAAGTTGAGAAATAACAAATTTAACAGAGTCAATCAGGTTTCTTTACCTCAGCACTTTTGGGTCCTCCGTAAAGTAATACACCTGGCAAACACCAGAGGGGCTGTAGCACTGACCAAGGATGCTGGCCCCTGGAATTCTGCACCCCTCCCAGCAGGATGACTTTTCCATCCCATGGAGGCTGGAAGAGTTGAGGACTGAACAATGTGGAAGGTAACAGAGCAGCTTTCTAAAGCAGTGGGAAAATTCCTCTGCATTCAGTCTCTGCATTTGCCGGGGCTGTGGACATCCAGTGCCTTCTGTGACTACTGAAACAGGGCAAATTGCAGGCAGTCACATGCGGCTGGGGTACCAAAGACGGTGATCTCTGGGGGTCTCTAACCCAGAACCACCATAGCCCTTGGGAACAGTATGCAAGTAAATCTCTTTGGATTTCCTAGAAGTTTGCTTTTTGGTATTGCACCACACACGGCAAGAACATCATTGCCCTCTGATCTGTTGGTAGTTTGAAAGCCAAGATTTCTCATGATCCAAGAATATATATGGAAGACAGAGGGGGCCTACTCCCATGGCTGGCCTTACAATTGCATTAAGGTTTCTTCTAGGAAAATCAGTACAAGTACTCTATTGTGCTACTTTAAAAAAACTGTTCTCCAAAGTTAACACTCTTTCACATGAAGCTTTTTCCTGGAGATAAGACAGAGTATGGAGGTAGGGTAGGGGTAAATTGGACCCTTCAGCATTTGTTTGCTTACATATAATGATTTTAGTTGAATTTGTGAATTGAACTTGGGTTCTTCTTCACCATGTTTGTGGTTGGAGCTGTGGTTATTATCACTAGTATTTCTGCATTCACTTGCTCTCTAATGGAAATCATATTATTTGTATTTGAATTTGTTGTGCCCCCGAGGAAAATGGGAACTTGTGAATACTTCTAAGCAATACCTGTCAAAGGGGGGATACTCCTGGGGTGAAAAGAGGTAGTTATTAGGAAATAACTTCATTTTTCTCAGTAATGACTGCATAGCAAGCTTCCCATTGAATATGACTCCAATTTAAGAGGGACGTTGGGTACAGGAGCATCTTCTGCCTTCATATCTCTGATGTCTCCAACCCTGGGATGAAGTCAGGCTAGAGGAGCCCCACAGTACTTTATCCGTAGAATACCCAGGTGATTGATGAACAGGTACTGAGGGGGAGGACGGGGGAGGGAGGCAGGAGACTCTGGAGCTAGTAACAGGGTGTCACCTCCATTCTTTTCTTGTCATGGGAGCTGGGAGAGATGAAAAATTTCTTTCTTGTCAGTTCTTTCCAAGTACAAGTGATCCTCTAAACCAAAGGATTCTATATTCTTGAATTCAACCAATTGCAGATCAAAAATAGTTTTAAAAAAATTGTATCCATACTAAAAATGTACAGACTTTTCTCATTATTCTCTAAACAACACAGTACAACTATTTACATGCCACTTATATTGTGTTAGTTATAAAAATGATAAAGATGATTTAAAGTAGATGGGAGAATGTGTGTGTAGGTTCTATGCCAATACTATACTACCTGAGATAAGGGAAATGAACATGGTGGGTTTTGGTATGGGGGGGGGGTCCGGGGAGTGGTTCTTGGACCAAATCCCCAGAGATTCTTAGGGTTGACTGTATATAATTTTGCCTTCAATATTTTAAATTTCCTTGGATGTTTCTTTCCTCCCCTCCCATGTGGGTTAGTGAATCATTTAATTGACCGGGACTTCAGGTACTAGTTAGATGCTGGAGCTTGGATCCAAAATGTCTCCTGAGACCCATGTATTAAGGGCCATGTGTTATTGGGAGGTGGTGGAAATTTTCTATCTCCTAAATCTGTGCCCTTGCTAACCTGGGCCTGGGTGCTAGCTAGCTACATCTGAATAGTACTGATAGTTAAATAGCTTGCTCCTTTAAGAATACTATGCAAACCAGGTGGCCTGTAGCCTAAGACATGTTTCTCCCCTCTTTGTGAAGAGCTCCCTTTGTCCCTGAACCTTCTCCTTCTGCCTCCCACTTTTCTGTCCCCCAAAGATCATGTTTATATGGCCAAGGGAATCTGGTCTAGAGGAAAGAGCACTGGGCCTGGAGCCAGGAGCAGGATTTGAGTCTGCGTGTCTCAATTTAGCTACTCATCCATCATGTGGCTGGGCAAATCCCTGGGCTTTTACAGCCTTGGAGGATGCCCAGGGCCATTATGGAACGCAGCAAGCTCAGTATGGAAGGCTTTGCTTCTTCCTGGGTAAAATGTTATGGAAGGTCCAGGCAGGTGGCCTTGGGACTGGGGCTACATTGTGGCCCCATAGCCCCCTTCTCTAAGGATTCCCAACCTGCTGGACCAAGGATGCTTCTGTGGGTGACCTAGGCCAACTACTGCTCACATCATTTGTCACAACTCCTGCTGTAATAACAATATTTAAAATCTTAATTAAAATAATATAATAATAATAATAATATTTAAAATATTAATTTAAAAAATCCAAGCCCATGAGTCAAGAGTCTCAGTGTGTGGCTTGACAATGAACTGACAAACCAAGGTTTGCGCCAATTCTCCAAATTTATTTCCCCACCCGTAACACCAACAATGTAAATGACACATTCATCTGGTACATCAAGTTCTTCTGCATCTGTTGAGTGCTGTTCTAAATACTCCACAGGTAGTGACTGTATACAGTAGATACAATTGCAGTTCTCATTTTGTGGAAACTGGGACTCAGAGTCAACCCAGGCACCAGACCTGATTCAAGCCTGTCTGTCTGACGTCAGGGGCCACGTGTGGAATGGATCTTTGATGCTGCGTTCAGCTCAGTGACTGCTCAGAACTGATGACCCACAGGCCAGAAGGCACTAGCCCTTGGAGCTGTGGATGCAAAAACACTGCAAACTGTTTTTGAGTAATTTCCAGCCTCGTCTTCTGGATTTACTTGACCAAGCAGGTGCCTGAAGTCTTGCTCTGAGATGTTCCTGTGCCTTTGTTGGTCTGAATGCCGAGTTTAAATCTTTCCACTATAAAAGTCCTCCCAATACATATTGGTGTGAAAAGAAAACACTTTATTTTGTGCATGTGGTGTTTTTACTTTTACCTCTGAGCATAGGAATGAATGTGTATTCGACAAAGATAGACTGGCAAAGATCTACTTTGATCTTAAAAAGCACCTCCTCAGGAGCAGTCTGGCTGTGGTCCTAACTGCTGCTGTTGAAGAGCTGCCAGTGAGGCCAACAAAACGGGGACATTTTAAAGCACTGACACCTGTTCGGAGCTGAATGACTGGGCAGGGCAGCTGGTTCTTTCGCTGCCCAGGTTTGCCTGAGCTCCTGTTAATGACAGCTTTGTGTGTGCCTCTGAGGGTGGATTTCTGGCTCAGAAGAAGAAATGACGATGTTGAGGAGGGGTGCCTTCCACAACAACTGAGCTATTGTCCTGCCCCCCACTACACCCCACCCTTTCCTTGTTACTGGATCCCTGGGTGACCCACTCAATGTGATAAAGAGGGCCAGAGGTTTTCTCCCAAGGAGGTTGGAAATGCCCCCTCCTCCTCTCCATCCTCCTCCTCCTCCTCCCCCTCCTGCTCCCTTGCCCCCTCGTCTTCTTCCTCCTCCTTTTCCTCCTTGGCTCTCGCAGCCTGTGGGCTCATGACTGGTCTCACATAGTCTCCAGTCCCAACCCACACTGCGCAGGATTCTTCTATTCCCGAAAAACCCTCGCTGGAATAAAGTTCTGGGAGGAAATGAGCCCAGAGAGAGCAGGGAGGAGCCATCGAAGAAGGGACTCAGAGTCTGACCTCCCGGCCTCCACTTCACCTGGGAAGAGCCCACTTAACCCCACCGCATCCTAGCCCCACCCAGCCTCCAAATCCCCAGGGCTCCTTCCTCCCCTCCTCCTGGCCTTCGCTTATTTTCTCAGGAATGCTTCTGGTTTTTGTTTCCAAACCAAAGCATCTTTTCCTTAAACCTCTTTACCTTTCCATAGCAGGAAAAGACTGTGAATCACAATGATGTGATTTACGTTGATCCCTAATTAGTCATCAGGAACTTCTGAGCAAGGATGTAAACAGAAATGCCAGGAGTGGACAATCACACACACACACACACACACACACACACACACACACACCCATGTTTGCAACTGGCCAGGAGCGCTGTCTCTGGATGCCTTTCAGCAGCCCTGAGAGTGTCCCCTTATGCCCTAAAATGAGACTCCGTCTCATTCAGAGGTTTCTTCTGAGTGTTCCTTGGCTCAGAACCACACCAGGCTTCTGCTTTCCTTGCACCCATATGGAGCAGGTTGGAGGAACTCACCGGATATGGCCCCCGGGGGAGACTGCCCCCCCCAGCTCCAGGTCAGCACTCAGCCTTCAGGGTGGGACCTGACACCAGGCCAGAGACCTAGGCCACCTTCCTTGCTGCCACTGAGGCTGTCTGCATCCTGGTATAGGAAATGAGGTCATCACCATCATCATCATTGTCATCAAAGGTGAAGATTAGCAGCACTAATGAGCTTTGAAGTTTACAGTGTGCCAGGAATCGTACCAGGCATTGCACACTCATCTTCTCACGTAG